GCTAAGATCAGATGTAATGTGATGTGTTGCTTCTGTATCCACAATCCATGGATTGGTGTTTTGGATATGTGTGCTTGTTGTGAAGTGATCACGTGGATTCCATGAAGCAGGTGGATACAGCAGAGTGGGGAGCAGAGGGGCGGACTGTTGTTTGGAGAGAGATTGGTATTGTGGACACCATTTAGCAGAGTGCCCTTGAGTGTGATAGATTTGGCAACGTCTGAGGTACTGTGGTGAGCTTTTGTTGTCACCACTTCTTTGATTGTATTGGTTCTGCCACTGTGGTGGTTGTGGCCGTTGATTGTTTTCTTTGTGGTAGTTATTGCGAGACTTGTTGTTGACGTAATTAGCAGAGACAGGGAATGTCGTTGGTGGTGTGATAGAGAGCAGCTTTGCTTCTTGATTCAGCAACTTCTCATGAAGTTCTGTAAATTGTAGGTGGGTTCTCTCGGCTTTCTGTTTGGTCGATAATGGCTCCCTCAAGGATTGTGTCAACTTGATCTTTATGATTAATAACTTTTCCCATAAGGGCCAACTGATCAAACCTTGTTGTTAGCCCTTGTATGGATTCATTGATTCTATGTGTGCCTTTACTCCATTACTTCAGTTGGAGTTGAAGCTGTTTGATGTGGCCTCGGCTTGGCTTTGCGTATGTGGAGTTAAGAGTGTTCCACACATCTGCTGCGGTGGTGGCCTGAGAGAGAATTGGCTGAATCATTGTAGAGATTTCTCCAAGGAGAGCACTGAAGATTAGTTTTTCCTGTCTTTTCCAAAGATGATGGGCTGGATTCGGTGTAGAAAGTCCATTGGCGGTGATAAGTGTTGGTGGGGCTGGTGTGGATCTATCAATAAAAGATGCAAGATCATATCCATCAAGGAGAGCATGAACTTGTCGATTCCACATTAAGTAGTTGGTTGTTGTCAGTTTGGTGATGTTTGTCATATTGACATTGAGTAGTGAGGTTATAGTTATGGTTGGTACTTCAAATCCGGTGGTGATTGGTGAGTAGTGTTTGAAGTGTTTGAGGTAAACATGATGTAGATCCGTTTGAAAAAGAGAAAAAGAGGAGGCGAGTGGAAGAAGACGAAGAGGACGAAGCAAGAAAGAATGAAAGCTCTGATACCATATAGAATTATGAAAAAGGATACTTGTATTGATCTATAACATTACATACTTATACATAGAGGAGGATCCTAGGTATACGCATAGTTACAGCAGAGATCTTTGTATATAGGAGAGACATAATTGTGCCTGATGTATTTCTATATATGGTCCTAATAAAAGGAACTGGCTAATCAAAAACTTTTTTCATGCTCTCAACATTTATAATTCTCCCATGAGGCATTTATTATACTAGTAATTGCTCTTGACTTTTCCTTAGCAAACGTTTTCTATTGACGGTTCACATCATATTGATCAAACCTGTTCGATTTATGTTGTAGCGTGATTACTGCTCAGTCAAGAGCTTCGTCTGATCATGTGTTACAAAGATTGGTGGACGAACAGAATGTGAATTGAATGAAGAAGAAAAAGCTACATCATGTTCAATTTGTATGGAGAACTTGTTGAGACTAGTCATGAAAACAGTATTAAGATGCCTAAGTGTGTACATATGTTTCATCAAGGTTGTATCTTTGAGTGGCTTAAGCATTAGAAGTTTAGGTTGTATCTTTGAGTGGCTTAATAAGAAGTTTAGAACAAATCTATCTCCCTTGTGTCGGGGAGTTCTATACGAGTGAAGCCATGACAGAGACTCTAAGATTAGCTTAGGGTTAGGAACTTAGGGTTTTAGTATGTTAATTGTTTGTTCTAATATTTTACGAACGATTTTGTAATTTGTTCAATATCTTGAGGGATTCATAAATACTAGGTTACCGTCCGCGTCATACGCGGGGAAATAACATTTACGAATTTTTTGTATTTGTTATTTATGTTTTTATTAGCCAAATTTTTATAATTAAATATTTAAAAATAATATGAAGCCAAATAATTGATGAAACGCTAAATTACAATAAAATGTAAACTCAAAAATGACAAAAGCAATAACAACAAATAACAAATCAAAAACAAAAATCTAATAGACTAATTATGGTATGTAGAACGAACCTTGTTCAACACTTTAAGATTTACAAAGAATTTACAAACCAGAAGACAAATATGAAATAATCTACTATAAAAGAATAAGAAGATACACACAATAATTACCAGAATAATGTATTAGCATAAAGATTAAAATCTCAATTATTGGCTTAAAGAGCTTGTATCTTTTAACCATCATTTTAGCCAGATTCATATGAGGCTGGTTATCTCGTGTATCCAGGTCCAGATCATCTAAAATTTTTGCCCAGAGTGAATCTTTGATCTTATCATGCGAATTCCCCATTCTCTCGAAGTTTCCACCTCAACGCAAGATAGTGAATTAGCTCTTGGAGAAAAACGAATAACTCTTTTACCAACGACGTGAGATTAGCTCTCCTTGTTCAAAGTCCCTTGGCACTGTGAAATCAAGCAACGTCAAGATAAAAATGCAGCTGAAGTGAGGTAAACTTTTATTACCACAAATAATTGACTCATTGAGAGACTGAACTTAATTGCATTTAGGCTCTTCTCCATTACCTGAAATCAAAATAAACGATCATAAAACATATGAAATCGAGGCTCTAAATCATCTTCATAATTAAATTCTGAATTCAAAGCGCATCAGATCATCAATATTCCAACAGAAATCATCAAAGTTTGCAACATAAGAAACGAAGACCGATTACGATTGTGATTATGATTATGATTTTGATGGAGATGAGATGGGAGTTTGAGATTAAGAAAATTCAGACATTATTTATAGAGTTCTGAAAAGCTTTGAAAAGTTACTTTTGACTTTGACAATATTGAATAATCTTCTTCAACTTTGTCTCTAATCACCAATAAAAAACCAGTAACCTTCAAGCCAACCCCTGCTCTTCGTATTTTTCTCCTTCTCTCTCTTGTTCTCTTACTTTACTTTCAAGATTTTTTTCAATCTCTCACTTCTCTTTCTTTATATCGATCACAAATTTCTCCATAAATCCAATTATGATCTAATCTCAAAGATAAACCAAAGCTATTACACCATTTCACTTATTTTCCGGATAACATTATTCACCGTGTCAGCCATAGAAACTCCATATTCACTATGTTTCCTTTGTCATCAACCGCAAACCCCTTAACCATTGGGATGGTTCAGCCTCGCATCATATAATCTCTCACCCATGTATCCTGTATATCCTTCAGGGGAGCCAATAGACAGAGTCTCGGCCTGCTATCTACAAATAAATTCCATCAATTTTCATATGCAGGATCTTGTACAGTAGTCCAGGTGCATTCAGTTTTTATGATTAAGACAAACAACAATCGTGACTAAATCACATAAACTCTCAAACTTTAATATCTTCAAGATAGTGAATTTGAAATCATTATGATCATGGAAAAAACATCAGTAGAATAACATGTAGATCATATAATTGAAAGAAAAAACAGCACAATCAGATACTTACATAGCATTAGAGTGCATGAAACCTTGTAGATATTATCGTTCTCAGAATCAATAATAAGTAACTCGCGATCGCCGGTATGCAAAACCTCATACGACTCGAAACAGACGCTAGGGGGTGCCTTCGATCTCGTTGCAGTTCCTGATTTTCAATGGCGAGAAATATGTTTGCAAAACTCTATATAGAAACTTCATATATATCGAATTCCTTTAGTTGTGAAGTCAAATGCAGTGCAGCTTAAAACTGTCATGGAGCATCGATCCAATTGAGTAAACTGCTATCTAAAAAGAAAAAAGAAAAAAACAGTGCGCTAAAATTTCAACCACATCGAAAGACAAAAGCAGAGCTGTATGACTGAGTAAGAACCAAAATTTCAAGAAAAAGAAATCAGATGTAAGAAAAAAGAAAAAAAAAATCAGATGTAAGAATAGATAACAGAAAAATTATTTTATTGAACTCTCAAATCTCGTATATTCAATCGACACACTCTGCACCAACTAATATATTACTCACTCAACCGATCGCAAAACAATCCATATCATATCTGGAAAAAAAAAGAAAAAAAAACAGAAGAATTTCTGTGAATTATAACAAAGTCCCAAAGACTCTTTGACCAAATCAAAACAGAGCAAAGACGTTCAAAGAAAATGTATACCGAAATTCAAGATGAAAAGAAACTTATATTTGTAGAACAATAATCTTGACAAGTGAAGAAGAGATCATCATTAAACGCAGTGTTAGTTAGTTGTATGTTGATACACTTTCATCCCTTAAACCAGTAGTAATATGACTCAATACCATATGAAAATTGTATCTCACTTGGATATCGCAACGAAATCTCTATATGTATTTCACTAATCCTCTACAAACAAAAGTTAACATCACTATCTCATCCCAAATCTTTTGAAAATTATGAAGCCAAAAATCTTTTGATTCTCTCACCCTCTTCTGCATATCAGAAAGTTCCAATTTGATCGAGACGTAACTATTTTTTTAGCTTCATCGTTTGAAGAGACAGATGTTGAACGTCATAGAGCCATTGTTTCTAGAAAGAACATATGAGGTTGAAGAAATCCTAGGAATAGGAGATTATAGTTATAATCATGTGGCCAAAGAAATTTAGGATTTTCTAATAAATGATGATTAAAGAGATTTAACCTCACAATTTTTTTCTTTGTGAAGGGATTTAATCCCTTCAAAATCAGATTTAACCTCACAATTTAAAGAAATTAGGGTTCTTATTAATTTTTAAAAAAATTAAATTTAGCCGAAAATAATTACACAATCTAATATTTATTAATAAAAATTAGATTAAATTAGCCTAAGAAAATAATTAAGTTTTTTTATCAAGAATATAGATAAATAAATAATCAATAGATTTCACTAAGCGTAATTAAAGTAAATTCACATGAGAGACAAAAGGTAATCAACCATTATAACTCTTAACCACAGCTCAAATGAGAGGCAAAAGATAATCAATCATTATAACTCTTAACCACAGCTCAACTTGCTTGCCAGCTCTTTTGTACGTAGAAGGAGCTTGCAGAATAACAAACTAGAATCAGGAAGGTTTAAAATTTAATTATTAGATACATCAATTTCTTACTGGTTTATAAGGAACTTTGGACTTATCTTACGAATGTAATCCAAAAAAAAAAAAACCTTCTCTCATTCTCTTACAAATCTATACACAGAAACTGAAGTTGAGACCAAAAGAGTTTTTACACCAAAAAAAACACTTCACCACAAAGGATATGACATTTTTACTACATCGGCAATGTTTTCTTCCATCTTTATCCTCTTTTTGTAAGGCATAAACCCCTTCATATTCTTCATCTCAATCACCGACGATTTCAACTGAGAAAACGCTGATCTCTCGCTTCTTTTAAACTCCGGTACTACTCTTCGTGTCAATTCTGTCTCAGCGTTTTCTGAGGAAGAAGAAGAAGAACATTGAACAGACTGTGTTTCAAAGTCTTGCTTCTTCTTGATATCCTCTGAATCATTAGAGCTTGTTGAAGAATTGTAATCACCAACTACAAAAGTCTTTCCAAACAACTTAAAGCTTTGTTTGGTCTCTGCTTCTGGAAACAATGATTCCTCTGTGTGAGATGATAACTCATGCCCCTGTTGGTAATCAGCTGAAGAAGAATTAGGTGAATTTGAACCCATTGAACCTAATCCATCTGAGCCATGAGCTGATAAAACCGATGTTGGAGATCGGTTATCTTCATCTTGATACAACTTAGTTCCGGTTAGCTCAGCGTATGCGATCTCCTTTGCATCCGGAATCACTAGCTTCCTAGGGTAAGGATGCATCGGCTTTCTTTTCGGTCTTGGAGGCGGAATCTCAATGGATTTCTCAGAGCTAACACCAAAATCACGAGCAACCTATTCATAGATTTGAATTAGACCTTGAATTCACCGAAAAGATTGAAACATTTTTCATGTTCAAGGTCTTAAGAGCATACCTTAGTAAAGAACTTCTGAGCATGGCTCCGAATCTGAACAGCAGTCTTTGTTCCAACATGTTCTGTATCAATGAAGAATCAACAAAAGTCAAATCTCTACTCAATAAGTTGACTCACACTAGGGTTAGGGTCCAAATAGTTTGCTTGTATCTTCATCAAACCTATCTTAGAATGTGCATTAGAGACTCTCTAAAGTTCAGATAAGTACACAAACCTTCGATTCGTCTCCAAGCTCTGCCATAGAGTTTCAAAGCTTCTACAAACTTCTCATGCTCTGCTTCTGTCCATTTCTCTCTTTGCTTAGTGATGGTATAAGGCTTTCTTGTCTATAGATAAAAGCAAAACCAAAAACAAACTAGTTTAGGCCTCAGGTTGAGATTTAAAACCCAATCAAAGAGTAAACAAGAGATCCAATAACCTACCTTGAGGTAAAAGGCATCTGTGGAAGAGATAACCTCATCAGAAGCTCTGTCACATAAACTCTCACAATGTTCCTATAATCAGAAAATCCAAGAAAAAACATTAGTCTCTTAATTACAAATGTTGTAAAGTTAATAATGTTCAAAGGAGTCTTAAAACTAATTTAATACGCATCTAGAAGAGTTAGACCATTAGGTAATTAGGGATTTGAGACTTTGCTCTTACCTAGTTCTCAAATACATTAAGTAGTACTCTCTTTAAACACAATCGACCATAATACCCCACAAATCGCCTGGTCTATAACACAATTAACCTGCGACAATCGAATATTCTTCAGTTCCAACTTTTCTTGGACACAGACAAACACAAGTTGTTTAAAACTTGGATTTGTAAAGACCTAACATACATCGAGAAGGATTTGCCTAATTTTTATGTTAATCTGTCTAAATTACATAACCTCTGTCCACATAACATAACAATAGTAATAAAACCATAAGAAAGAATCAAAAGAAGAAAGATCTCACACCTCCATAGCCATGGTTGCAGAAGAAGAAGCAGAAGACTTGGAAATTTAAGATTAGTTGGATTTCAGATTTTATCTGATTCACCTCGATCCCAAAGTTTTCGCCGTTAATAAACGCAATTTTATCGCCGGATAACCAAAAGCCTGGCTTAATTTACCGGAAAACAGTTTAAATCTGAAAACTGAAGAAGAGAAGAGAAAAGAGAACTCTTTTAAGATTGGTGAGAGAAATGAGAGATAGTTTAGAAATTGAGCAGAGTCAAGGGGTTACTTTAAAAGAACAAGGGGAAGATAGGCCACGTCAGCATAATTTATTTAATTTTTAATTTGTTTTCTTGAAGAAAAAGCGAGATGAGTCGAGAACTCTGTTGTATCATGTGGCTCAGGTTAAAAGATGCTATGACACGTGGACGATGTCTTCTCATCTTCTTCGCTTTCGCTTTTGCCTTTGCGGAGAAGATATTATCTGTTTTTTGTTAAATCTTGTCGGAAATTTTTAATAATATTTATGTTTTTCCACTACAATGTTTGCCTAACGCGAGTGGCGAGCGCGTGCTTGTTTAAACAACGTTGTGAACATACTTCAACTCAACTTTGGTTTGTTTTTATATTAATCAAGTGCAGAGGAAAATTTAGTTTAGTTTGATACAAATAAAATTACGATTTAGATTCGAAAATAATGTTTTTTTTCTCTTCTGCAAGATATTTTTATATTTGTGCTCACTTGATTAAATCAATCATTTATACAACAAAAAATATTTGATTATAGAATTCTGCCAAAACATCTATAATTAACCAACAAATCAAAGTTTAATGTAAAAAAAAGATTACTGTTCAAATTAAATTTGATAAATCTTTTATAGATTATAATTTCATATAAATAACAAAAGAATTAATCATATAACCAAACAAATCACAAAAGGCAGCAATTAAAAATTTTAATTTGGTTTTAATACAAATTCAAAGAAAATGAATATGTTATCATAATTCCTTATTTAACTAAAATAATAACAAAAAATTAAGGAAAATGGCTTGGACTAGCAATCTTACAACCATTTTAAAAGTATAAAGTTAGATGTTTTTGATAAAACATCAATATTATGGCTATAAATTAAACAATTTGCTTTTTGGTAAATAGTTATGTGGTCTAACTTAAAATCTACATTGATTTTGTTTCTTCAAATCCTATCAAATTAGGCAATCAATAAATATTTTTGTACACTAATTCATTATTAAATTTTATTTGAGAAGATTATGCATAAATTTCTGTAAAAAATAATACTTACAAAATTAAAAATATACAGTGAAAAGTATGGTTGATATATTTAAGCTATTAGTTCTCTATATAGACTAAACTTCCAACATGTTAATTTTTATGTAGCATCTACTTAATGTACAAATATCTTTTCTCTGAACCTAGAGTTATCAGGAATAATTAGGTTCAATGACAGATCATATTCTTGGAGTGCTCTCTTTTGACCAAAAGCATGTGGCAAAGAAAGCGAGTAGCTAATAACACATACACGAGCGTGGGTTCCAAAAGAAGAAAAAGATATTTGAATTCAGTAGCCGTCAACTTCAAAATAAAATATCAAAAACAAAAACTAAATAGTAGGTATTTTATGTGAAGGACAAATATTGTAATAAAAATATCTGGTGTCTCGCAAAACCATTTATCCATTTAGACATTTTCTTGTACAACTGTCTCAAATTAAAGTGGAAAAAAACATAACTTTTGGTTTGCACTTTTTTGCCGAGTCAGCAAAAGTGTCCTCTGGGATGTTCCAAAAGCCGACCACGTGGCATAGTGTTAAGGGAATAGAGATAGCGAGGGAGAAGATAGGGATATGAATGGATTGTAATTGTACGCCACTCGATTATTAATTACCAACAAATTCTAGCCCACTCGTTCAGTGTTATATAGGTTTACGTTTTTCTTTTCTTTATTCGTCGTTTAATAAAACTTTACAATTTCAGATCTTACGAATCTATCACAATATTGTTAGATAATATTTCAACCAGCAAATACTGGTGTAGTGGCCACTAAGAAGTTATTGGTTCATGTTATCTTTGTTTTTTTTTTTTTTTCCTATTTGAAGTTTTCATTAAAACAGTGATATAAAAAAATATTCAAAATAATATAAACAAGTAATACAAAAATTAAATTAAAAATAAAATATATAAACAACACATTATAATTTATTATACCATCACCGGACACTAACACCAGAAAAGTAAATTAAAGTAAATTTTAAGGGTTTTTTTTTGGTGGTTCACTAAAACGAATTTGATAAAAAAAACTGTATTAATAATTTCTTTTTTTCTTAATTCTATATAAAATGAAAAATTTATTAGTTTACTATTTTAGTATTTACTATAGACAAAACAAAACGAGTTTACCATTTACTATCTACGGAAGTCAAAAACAAGTTTAATCAATTTTTTAAGAAAAAATATTATTTAATTATTCAACCGTAACGAGTCTTGAGTTATACGAAAACTCTTTCAGGCACGATTTCTGATGAATCCCCAACTACTTCGCGATCTGCTTTAGCAACCGCTGAAGTCTCATAAGCCGCTGTAAAGAACCTCTGCCCAGCCGTCTCCTACTCCTTTCCGACGACCTAATTCATGGATCTAAACATTTCATTGTAAAGTACCAATTTTTTCTCTCTTTTTTCTAGCTTATGTTGACGAAAGGAGACATCTCTCAAGCTTTACCTTATAATGGGGTCCTCCAGATCTACTTCACGTGGCTTTATCCCCACTGTATCCTCAAAAATTTGCTGCTCCAGTCACAGGAAGCAAGCTAAAGACCCAAGTCCTCCACCTGTTTACTGTCCTTTGCAAATCTTTACCGTTTATTACGTATCAGAAACCTAAAAAGTCTTCTAGTTCGCATAACTAACTTCACCGTCTGCTCAATGTTTAGACGTTACTCAACAGCAGAGAAAGGAAAGGGAATCATGAATACCTCGCCGCATAGGCGCCATACACCAGTCCAAATCCCTCCAAGCGACAACTCAACCCTCGTAGAGCAGAACAAGTTCGCCATGATTGATAGAGTCATAAACCTTGAGCACCAGAAACCACATTGGGTAGTGGAATGGCTTACCCAGTACTGGAACCTAGATTCCACAGTGGTGGGGAGACCCTTGGGCCCAGATCTATTCAGCTTTAAGTTCGACTCCAAGGAAGCCATTGACTCAGTCCTATGGAAAGCCTCATACCACTACAAAAGGTGGATGCTGATCCTCCATAGATGGGAACCGATAATCTCGAACTACTTCCCATCAACCATCCTCTTCTGGGTCAAGATCCATGGAGTACCATTTCATTACTAGAATGAGGGAACCTTTCAAACTATAGGAGAAGCATTGGGCCGTATTATGGCCAAAAATATCCTGGAGAGAAGGTCCATAGTAGAAATTAATGGCATTCAACCTCTAGAATTGAAACTCCTTATTAAGGGCTATATCAGTATTTATAGAATACGATATACTGGAATAACACTGCTTCTGTTGCTATTCCCTCCAGCACGAGGAAAAGGACTGCCTTGAAAAAGACATCGATAGACCCCAAACTACCCAACTCTTGGGAATTAAACCAAATCAACACAGAAACAAAGCTTAACGAAGTGAGACACAACAACCAAATCCGGAGCAAATCCCACACCTCGGAAGAGAAACAAGTCCTCAAGGGCTTCACCCATACACAATATTCCACAGAAGAAGCGTCTCTCCAAGAAGATCCAAGGGCCTAGAGGGGAGGCTTTCCTACCCTTTCTGAGGAAGCTCTTTAAAGGGGCCTAATCGTGAATATCATTGCGAGGAGGTCAGTCGAGAGTACAACAGACATCACTCCAGAGATCGTCCCCCTTGACGGAACAACTTCAGAGCCCTTTCTTTCAGAGGATCCATCTCGAGAAATATCGGTCGTTCAGACAGAGTATCTATGGGCATCTCCCCCTCAAGATCCCATAGAGTTATCCTGAACGAATCTCTCCGTCAAGAAATTCAGCAGCCCCAACGATCTCAATACTCGCATACTCCTCCCCTTAACCCTCTAAGAGAATCAATGAACCTACCGTCTATTGCGGAAAATAGAGAAGTAAACAGCTTATCCCAACAACGTAAATCAGCGCTAGAAAAAATCTCACAAAACATTCGTCCAGGATCCCAAGAATTCCATGGAAGCTCTAGCCTCCTCTCAGGCCGCCTCCAGGAAGTGGAAAGACATTATTACAACAACTTACATGCCCAAGTGGATAATCTCCTCCCATCCGGTGAAAGAATCCATTCTACCTTACGCTTGGGATTTTGACAGCTCCGAAGAAGAAGACAGCAAGTAAAACCTCTCGGAAAAAAGCAGCAACCACAAAAGCTGCACAAAAAAACAAAACCGCATGAGCAATAGGAAAGATTGCACAAAGCCCACTCCAGGGTCTCAGCCTGAGAAAATTCATGTCAACAAGAAGTGGATCAACATCTTCTAAACGGCTTGAAGCAGGTGAAACAAATGGAGATAGGGAAATATCTTACAGTGAAGAATTTGGACAAACATTAGTAGAGGGGGGGGGGGGGGGGGGGGGGGGGGGGGGGGGGGGGTGGGCTCCCTCCAAAGAAAGGGCAGGTTTTTGGATTCCCCAAAGCCCTCTTCCTTAACGCTGGCTAGTTGGAACTGTCAGGGTATTGGCACCACCCTGACGGTTCATTGACTCTGGGAAATCTGTCAGTCACCTTCCTGGATACATTGTTCCTGACAAAAAAAAAGAACCAAGATGAAGTAGTACTTTCTGCCCTTCAATGAATGGGATATGTAAAACCAGTTTACCTTTTCCCCTGTCGGCACAAGCAGAGGGTTAGTGCTACTATGGAAGAAATAAGTTCAGTTGGAGATACTGGAGTCTTCTGCAAACTTCATAAATACAAAAATAAAAGCAAAAGGAAAGACTTTCTTCCTTACGCTTATCTATGGCCGTCCACAACAAAAGCGTAGAACAAACTTTTGGAAGATGATCTCTAGTCTGGGAGCCTCAAGAGAGTCAGCTTGGTGTCTATCCGGAGACTTCAGTGATATTCTCAATAACTCCAAGAAAGCCGGAGGACCTACTCGGTGCGAAGGCACTATCATTTCCTTCCAAAGCTTTGTCTCCCAGAATGGGCTGTTGGATATTAAACACTCGGGGAATCCTCTCTCCTGGTGGGGCCAAAGACACGAGCATTTCATCAGATCT